GAGTGCAGGCAGGTTGGAGTGGGTGGAGAAAGGTGTCAGGAGTGTTGTGTGACAGAAGAGTGTCAGCAAGAATCAAAGGAAAGGTGTACAAGACAGTAGTGAGACCAGCTATGCTGTATGGGTTAGAGACTGTAGCAGTGAGGAAAAGACAAGAGGCAGAGATGGAGGTAGCAGAGATGAGGATGTTGAGGTTCTCTTTAGGAGTGACCAGGATGGACAGGATTAGGAATGAGCACATCAGAGGGACAGCTCAGGTCGGCTATTTTGGGGACAAGGTCAGAGAGGCCAGATTGAGATGGTCTGGACATGTGCAGAGGAGGGATAGTGGTTATATTGGTAGAAGGATGTTGGAGATGGAGCTGCCAGGCAAAAGGTCAAGAGTAAGGCCAAAGAGGAGATAAATGGATGTGCTAAAAGAGGACATGAAGTTAATTGGTGTGAGAGTAGAGGATGCCGAGGATAGTTAAATAGAAATATGATTCGCTGTGGCGACCCCTAACGGGAACAGCCGAAAGAAGAAGACGACTTTTCATAAATTTAGTTTCCTTTATTAACTTTTCAGTTCTTCATTTTCTTTTAGTTACGTTACATACCTTTCTGTGCAGATTCTCAATAATCCAGGTCATAGTAAACTGAAAAAAACTCAGAAAAAAATCAAATGGACTAGGTTTCTAGGTCGAACTGATGAAGCCTCTTGGATGAGAAGTGAAACATCTTCGATCTAGAAACCTGGTGATGAGAATCGGAATTTCCTCTCCAAATTGTTGTTTAAATCAGAGAAACTGAATCCAAAATTACACCGCTCTTGTCCAGGGCGGACATAGCCCAAGAAGATAAATGTAATGTGAAAACATAAATCGGGGTTTAGAGAATGGATTTCCTGCATGAGCGCTGTCTCTCTGATCCCAGCGCTGTAAGACTCCACCTGTGCCCAGACTTTGAGTAAACTTCCTGTTGATTTTAAACAGTCCTCTCCTGTCTTCACTTCTGACGCTTCCAACAAAAGAATTTGGTAATTTCTAACAGCATTCACATCCTCGACTTAAGTAAAAATACTATCGCAGTGTAAAAGTAATCTGTTACAAGTCATGCACTGAAAATATTAAGTATTATCATGAAAATGTACTTAAGTATTAAAAGTAGAAGTAGGCTACAAATTGATTATTAATATACCTCATCATAATAAGTTAAAATTGGGGCACCAAGGTTTTTTATCTTGTGAGCTACATGGTCAACAATAAACAATTATTAATCTAGTGTCAATATGAAAGCAGTAAGCTCTCTAGACAGGGAGGTTTTTATTCTAACAAAAGAAACCATTAAAAATGGCAGTTCTGTAAATCTAAATATGCTTATTTACATATTTACAAAGGGGAAAAGGGGGAACAAATTGTAAAATGGAGCAGATGGTACATAATGAAACAGGAATGAATTGATGAAGAAATGAATCAACTGCTGAACAGCGATAGTGGAAGAATGAACTAAATTGGTAAGAGCGGCGTAATTTTGGATTCAGTTTCTATGATTTAAACAACAATTTGGAGAGGAAATTCTGAGTTTCTGGAGGTTATGGGACTTACGGTTACAAGATGTCAGTTTAGCCATGAGGGTACTTAGCTTTAGCAGTTATCAGAAGTGCTGAAGTTCCATGTGGCCAGGGTAAGAAGTGGTCTGCTACTGAACCCTTTCTAAGCTCAGAGTGGAGCTCATGATCCAATGTGCAGGACACCTTTTGGGCTATGGGCTTGGAAGATGCCCTTCATCATCAGACAGGTTGTCTCATTATTTTTGATAAGTTTTCTCTCCGTCTTTGCCACGGTGTCAGCTGTCTTTGTTCGGATACTGGCTGGGCTAGAGGTCCAGTTTCTGTGCATGGCTTTTGTAACTGTGTCAAAGGAACCACGCCTAATTTAACACTGATCACAACTGGACTGTTCTGATGGTGTCTCTATAGCTTAACACAATTTGGCTGGAATAAAACTTAATGTAGACCTTGTCCTCAAAAGTTATACCTTTGAAATATTTAGCTTTATTTTGAAAGTTTTGCCCCATTCAAATGAATGGGAAAATTCTACTTCAGCATACTTTCAGCCATTTCAGGTCTCAAAATGTTCAGCTCTTCAAGAACATTCATGCTTCTATTCAGAATTTTTCTAAACTTCATATTTTTGAAATATTTAGCTTTATTCTGAAAATCTTGCCCCATTCAAATGAATGGGAAAATTCTTCAGCATAATTTTAGGTATCAAAATGTTCAGCTCCTCAAGGACATTCATGCTTCTATTCAGAATTTTTCTAAAACTTCATCCTTTTAAAATATTTAGCTTCATTTTGAAAAATTTCCCCATTCAAATTAATGGGAAAATTGTACTTCAGCATACTTTCAGGTAAATATGCCTTTCACATGTCAAAATGTTCAGCATTTTCAGGGTGATCCTTCAGCACACAGCATCCACATGCATTTTCGACAGGAAATGCATTTCTCTAGTTGTAAAAAGCATTTATTTTAATGTAAATGATGTCACACTATAAGACAAAAAAAATTGACTAATCAAAGTCAGAACTCCTTAATTGAAGTTACTGCAACTTCCTGGATGAGCACAGACCCCTTTATCATAGTAATGTCAAAATTATTGCCCATTAAAAATACAGAATATAGTCACACCATAAGATATGGACAACATTTTTTTGACCATAAATTGCTTTAACATAATGCACAGACATCAGTACTATCTGGGTCCGTTGGAAACACTCTGTTCTTACTCTGACTGTACATCTCTCTCAATTATTCATGTAATATAGACATAGACAGACAGACGTATGAGTAAGGTAACACAAGGTCCACAGAGTGACACCATATGACAATGTTGATGTTCGGATCAAAATTCTAAGCAGAGGTATTTACGGTCCCGCTATATTACTGCTATACGGTACTAATCCTATCAGAGGAACAAGATAAACATATATCAATAACAAAAGCTTATTTTTATTGTATGTGACACCGTGGACAGGCAGAACTGTATGTCACGTTGAACACCCATTTACAGTAGACATGAAGCAGGGCAGTCAGCTCAGTGAGTTGCATTCTTTTAACGCCCACTAACTTGGTGAATTTCTCTCCAAAATGTGGCACCATGTCACCGGTTTGGCGTTCACGATGGGCTGGGTGGGGTGCAGAGCAGAAAGGAGAAAGC